CCTCAAGATCTAAAGATGCATCAAATTATGTCGTTTCCTTCTTATTGTTGTGTCTTAGATCCTCTTAGATCCCCTCCTTTCTCATTGTCAACCCTCAGTTCATGTTTTTATTGTCTTCTTCTCAGAAAGTTAATACAACCTTTTAACAGGGATCTAAGTCTCTTTTTGGATTTCAATTCATCTCATAAAATACTTTCAGATTTATTTTTGTGAAAAAAATTTTTTTCAGTATCACTTCACTGTTTTAACAGTCAGGCCGGGCGCGGTGGCTCACGCCTGTAATCCCAGCACTTTGGGAGGCCGAGGCGGGCGGATCACAAGGTCAGCAGATCGAGACCAACAGTGAAACCCCGTCTCTACTAAAAATACAAAAAATTAGCCGGGCGCGGTGGCGGGCGCCTGTAGTCCCAGCTACTCAGGAGGCTGAGGTAGGAGAATGGCGTGAACCCGGGAGGCGGAGCTTGCAGTGAGCCGAGATCGCGCCACTGCACTCCAGCCTGGGCGACAGCGAGAGACTCTATCTCAAAAAAAAAAAAAAAAAAAAAAAAAAAAAAAAAGACTCACTGTTTTAACAGTCATCTGTCTCACTCACTAAATATTCATCGAGTAGAACTACATATGACTAAGGAATCCCTTTGTTGGATATGTACCTAAAGAAAATGAAATCAATATCTCGTAGAGATATCTGTGCTGCCATGTTTACAGCAGCATTATTCACAATAGCCAAGGCACGGAAAGAACCTGTGTCTGTTGCTGAAGAATGGATAAAAATGCTGTGATATACACACAGAGAAGAATATTTTTTCAGCCTTAAAAAAGGACATACTGACAACAATGATGAACCTGGAGAACATTATGCTAAGCGAAGTAAGCCAGACCCAGAAAGACAAATGTGGCATGATCTCATTTATATGTGGAATCTTAAAAAGAAAAAAAATCAAATACATAGAAACAGTAGAATAGTGTTTACCAGGAGCAGGGAAGCAAAGAAAATAGGGAGATGTAGTTCAAAGGATAAAACTTGTTGTTATGTACGATGAATAAGTTTAGAGTGCTAATGTGTTGCAGGAGGACTATAAATAATATCGTATTAAAAATTTGTTATGAGAATATATTTTGCATGCTCTTGACACTCACACACACGCATACACACACACACACGAATTAACTATGGAAGGTGATGTAAAATTTGCTTACTTGTTGTAATCATTTCACTTTGTATATGAAAACATCATGTTATATACCTGAAATATATACAATAAAAATATGTATTGAGTTTGTACTATGTGCTTGGGACTTGCATAAATTCTGGTGTACAAATGTGAAACATGATCTTGTCTTCAAGCAATTCCTAAACAGGTAACCCATAACTATAATGCAGGGTGATTTGTATAATGATATAAGTATTTTCCTACCTCTAAAGCAGCTGCTTAGCATTCCTTTCCTCTTTATACTACACAATTTCTTGCCATTTTAAAGACCTAGATATAATACCATCTACATTGTGGTGTTTTTCCTTGTCTCTTTGATCATATTTCCTTCATTTGAAGTACTATATAATTTATTCTCTGAATCATTTATTTGGAAATTAATCACCCACTAGTTTGTCATTTCTTCCGATATCAATTTTAACTGTAATTTAATGTTTAATATTTTGTCTTGTATTCTCATTTAGGTTGTCCATGTTCCAAGATTAGCGATTAGGTCTTAAGCTTCTTTATAGTCTCCCCTAAACTTTATACTACATTGCTATTAGGTATTCAAATGAAAACATGTTTCAAATGATAAATATTAAGTACATTTTACTGGGTAAGTTAATATCTTCTTTTCTACCCTGATTTAACTCCAATACTGACATAAAATGGTTTCAACTATTTTTATACACAAATTTTTGAACAATAAAGTTTATTTTTAAGTGGGCATTTTCAACCTTCTATCCTATTCAGACTTGTCCTTGCAATTTTTAAGTCCCATCTCTTCTAACAGTTCCCACAAGAATTGTTGTTAAAAATGAAATTCAGTGTAGTCTCCTGAGAGATGAAATATGTCCTTCAAAATAATTTCACCACAATACATTTTCTGACTCAGGAGATTTTGATTTTTGTCAACTTGGTCTCAAGGCAAACCTTGAGTGTTAATATAAAGAAATAAAACGCAGTGCTAATGATACAGAGACTGCAAATTCCATTAGATAATATTCTCTATTTATGTGGAATAATGAACTAATTCAAGATTTTAACATACTAAAGTATTAAAAATTAAATTACTACAGTGATTGCATCATTTCTGATTGCTGCTATAACAACCACAGACTTAGTGGCTTCAAAGAGCAGAAATTTATGTGTATTTATAGCTTCATAGATCAGAAGTTCAACATGAGCCTCTCAGAGCTAAAATCAAAGCATCTGAAGGCTGCTTTCTTCCTGCAGAACGTAGGGGAGATTTTATTTTCTTGCCTTTTCCAGCTTTTAAAAACCACTGGCATCACTGGCCCCCTCCTCCAGCTTCAAAACCAGCGACGGTGGGGGCCAAGTGAATCCTCCAGTCCCAGTCCAGTTTTTGGATGACTCAGTGCTGGCTGACATCTAGATTGACATTGACATTGTGACACAGGACTCTGAGTCACAGTGTGGGGTATTTTGTTACACAGCAATAGAAAACTAATGCATCATATGATCTACCACTAAGTCTGTGGTTATTTGTTATAACAGCAATAGGAAACTATGTAATCACTGCAATAATTTAAATTTTAAATACTTTAGTATATTAAAATCTTGAATTAGTTCATTATTCCACATAAACGTAGAATATTAGCCAATGGAATTTGCCATCCCTGTATCATTATCATTGCATTTTATTTCTTTACACTCAATGTTTGCCTTGAGACCAAACTGACAAAAATCCCCTGAGTCAGAAAATGTATTGTGGTGAAATTATTTTGAAGGACATATTTCATCTCTCAGGAGACTACACAGAATTTCACTTTTGACATGTGTTCTGAGGGTCACTAATTCAATTAGATGCTCTTTTAAACAGTGATTCCTTGTTCTAATAACATTAAGGAGCACTATATACTCTATGCCTACTCTTGGATAATTAAAATATACATTAGTAGGAAATAAACTTTCACACGATTTAACTCAAATGTGAAGTACATTAATTTGACCGTGGGTCACCCCCTGCTACTTCCTCCCCTGCCACCTATTTTCAAGCAGTATCTACTAACAGCCTTTAGGATACCTTTTGCAAAATTTTGGTTTACTCTAATTTTCCTATACTTTTTAAAATAAGAAATTGAGCCGGGCACGGTGGCTCACGCCTGTAATCCCAGCACTTTGGGAGGCCGAGGTGGGTGGATCACCTGAAGTCAGGAGTTCGAGACCAGCCTGACCAACATGGTGAAACCGCATCTCTACTAAAAATACAAAAAATTAGCCGGGCCTGGTGGCAGGTGCCTGTAATCCCAGCTACTCAGGAGGCTGAGGCAGGAGAATCACTTGAACCCGGGAGGCAGAGGTTGCAGTGAGCCAAGATCGTGCCATTGCACTCCAGTCTGGGCGACAGAGTGAGACTCTGTCTCAAAAAAAAAAAAAAAAAGAAAAAAGGAAATTGAATGGTAGAGAGATTGGAGCTTTCTCAAAGTCTCTTAATTTAGGCAGCAAAATGAGTTTAGAGCATAACAAAACTAGAACTGAGGCCTCCTGGTTCCTGTGTCCTTTACCTCTGCTGATCAAAGTTTGCTTTAGGGGAATACGTGAGCAGATGGTTAATAGCATCAAGAGGCAAGGCCTGAGATATCACCTCACACCAATCAGAATAGTGATTATTAAAAAGCCATGAAGCAACAAATGCTGGCGAGGTTGTGGAGGAATAGGAACACTTTTACACTGTTGGTGGAATGGAAATTATTTCAACCATTGTGCAAGACAGTGTGATGATTCCTCAAAGATTTAGAACTGGAAATGCCATTTGGCCCAGCAATCCCATTACTGGGTATACACCCAAAGGAATATAAATCATTGTGTTACAAAGATACATGCATGCATATGTTCATTGGAGCAATATTCACAATAACGATGATATGGAATCAACCCAAATGCCCATCAATGATAGACTGTATAAAGAAAATGTGGCACATATACACCATGGAATACTATGCAGCCATAAAACGAAACAAGATCATGTCCTTTGCAAGGACATAGATGAAGCTGGAAGCCATTATCCTCAGCAAATTAATGCAGGAACAGAAAACCAAACAGCGCATGTTCTCAATTATAAGTGAGAACAATGAGAACACATGGATACAGGGAGGGGAACAACACACACTGGGGCCTGTTGGGGGAGGATGTGGGGGAGAGAGCATTAGGAAAAAGAGCTAATGCATACTTGGCTTAATACCTAGGTGATGGGTTGATAGGTGCAGCAAACCACCATGGTACACGTTTACTTATGTAATAAACCTGCACATCCTGCACATGTACCCTGGAACTCAAAAAAAATAAAATAAAATAAAATAAAAGAAGAAGCAATGCCTGTTTTTCCCTTCTTGACTCACTTCTCCTGCCCTCCCATTATACCATGACCTGAAACTCAGCCATCAGAGTGTTTGTAATGGAAGCTTCAGTACAAGTGAAAAAGTCTTTAGGAGGAAAAACACTTTATTCTGTTAGCAATTGCTTGCAATTTAGGATGAATTAAGTATTTACGGTTTTGATAGCTGGGCGTGGTGGCCCACACCTGCAATCCCAGCACTTTAGGAGGCTGAGGCGGGTGGATCATTTGAGGTCAGGAGTTCGAGGCCAGCCTGGCCAAAATGGTGAAACTCTGTCTCTACTAAATATACAATAAATAAATTAAAAAAAAAAATTAGCCAGGCGGTAGTGGTGCATGCCTGTAATCCCAGCTACTCGGGAGGCTGAGGCAGGGGAATTGCTGGAGCCTGGGAGGAGGAGGTTGCAGTGAGCTGAGATCAGGCCAATATGCTCCAGTCTAGGCAACAGAGTAAGACCCTGTCGCAAGAAAAAAAGAAAAAAAGTTATGGAAAAATATGTAATAACTGAGGATCCTAGGTCACTGAAGAGGAGTATAGTGCTTCCCTGGACTCTGTTTTTTTTAGAGGTCCTACTTTTACTTTCTCTGGCGACACCACCCCTGTGGGGTGAGACTTGTGCAGTGGCCAATATACCTTTTCCACCCAGAGCCCACATTTCCCCTTTAGACCATATTTCAGCTACCCAGAGAGCCCAGAGTTGCCCTGCTAAAGGGCCTTGCCCCCATTCCTCAGATGCGGGCAAGTATCTTCCCTGGGACCACCCTTCGAAGGCAGACCATGCCACGGCATCCATGCAGTGGACCCAAAGGGTGGCCAAGGGATGGTGGCTGTTTTTGTGGGGTGTACACAATTCCCAGGCCCGTCATAGTAAAAGCTGAAGTCGAAGTTCCAAAGAGAAGGTGAATGTCTTGAAAGTGGGGAACTGCTTTTCCTAGAGCCTCAATATTTAGGCACAAAGCACTGAGTCTGCATATTCTGAATTAGAACCTGCCCTGTCAAGTTGTTAGGAAACTGTATTTATCAAGTTAAGTGGATAGAGCATATTTTATTTAGTAGTTTTTAGCTGGATTTATACCTTTCAACTATTTAGACATGTGGTATGTGGGCTTCCGTTTGTGCGCTTGTCCCTGCCTGCCGTGCGGTTTCCCGCTGGGCTGGCAGAGGGTGTGTTTTGTGTGTACACATATGCACACATTTGTTGAAGAGGCACACAGTGATAACAGGAGTGGAGGGGGTGGGGATGTAAGACAAATCAATTTTCCAGCATTGCTCTTGGACCTGTCATTCTTTGTCGTCAAAATAAAATCGATTCTTCGGTACATGAGATTAATTTTAGATATTACATCTGGTAAGTATTTATTAGGTAATATCTAGAACAATTTAAAAATATTTGCTGCCTCTACATAGTACATTCATCAGCAGTTAAATTCCTTGATTGAAATTCTCAGTTCAGCTAGATTCCGAGGAACCCAAATATTGACATATCTCAGTTATTGACAATCTCCTTTGTCCCAATTCTTTTAGCCCAGTGTTTATAAAGGGTGATTACAATATCAGCAGCACCAGCCACCTGGGAACTTGTTGGAAAACAAAATCTGGACAGTCAGTCCCCAATCCCTAAGCCTAACCTAAAACCCCTAAGGTGGGCAGATTCAGAAGTCCACTTAAGCAGCTCTCCGTGTGATTCTGAAGCTTGGCTGCAGGTAAGGGTTGGGAACCAGCTCTTTGGCCTATACTGACTTCTTGATAAAGTTGATTAGAGGCAAATAAGGCTGAAAGTTTTCTTTGTTCCTGGTTATATTGGTTCAACAGACCCAAATACACACCACTGGGAAAAACAGCATAATTTTATAATTGAAATACAGAGAGCTCTCACTTTAAGTTTTTTTTTTTTTTTTTTTTTTTTAAGAAGAAATGAGTGCACTATTGTAGTTTAGATATTGCAGCAATTGCTAGATTTTGTCTGCTTGGTGCTTTTGCTAATACTTGCTCTCTTTTGGATTTCCTTATTTTTATATTGACCAGTAGTTTCAAGTCGCGGTTCTGGATATTGTTTTCCAGGTTCAAAACCTGAGAGGTGCTTCATTAAGTTTTGAAATGCCGTACAACAGAATCAATAACTTGAAACTGAACTTCAGAGTTGGAAAGTAGCAAAAGAAAAATGCCACTGTTTCTCCACATGTAATTTAACTTCCATAAGGAAAATAAATCTGTTGCTAGTTTTTTGTTTTGTTTTGTTTTGTTTTTTACAGTTTCATTAAATTCTCTGATCACGGTATTAGTGAGCAAACCCACTCTGATATTCACTGTAATTGAATAATAATAAAAAAGGAGTGTTTTTATCTAGTGGCATAAAAAGAAGATGCAAAATAAATTGTACTGATTTCTGGACTTTCAGTGAGGGTTAATATTTATTTAATAATTGACATTTAATATAATTTTACTTTGTATTTACTTAGAAATAAAGTGAATTGATGTAAAACAGAGAGGAAAGCAAGAGAGGATTGAACATAGAAGTGCTCCAGGATCAAAGCTGGTGTGTCATGGGACAACTTTTACAAGTTAGTTATTGGTCATCTTTCTGTCTTTATTAATCCACTGTTTCAATATGAACACTGTAGCCAGTGAGACTGCTTCAAATGAATGTGAAAGAAAGCTGATCCTCATCTGCTGAAACCTGCGAAGTCTACTTGTAGGCCTTGCTAACCTGTGAAACCACCTCTATTGTTAGCCATCGTTTTTTATTTTTATTTTTTAAAGGACTGATGTATTCAATAGGTAGAATTAGAATATGATTTGCACCTCTTGACTTCTTATTTATAATTCTTCTTCCTCATTTCTGGGGTCTATGTTTTGTCCCTTCAAATGTACATTAAACTTTTTAAGATCCAGGGTCTTCATTTCATTTGCATTTCTACCAGCACCTAATAGTTTTCTACTCTTAGTGAAAACTAAATAAATTATTTGAAAATAATTAACATTGTAGCTCACTCGAGTAAAGTCAAATTGATAGTGCACCAGTGTTACAAAGGGATATAGAACATACATGGTGAAAAGTGAACATCTCACCTAATTCCAAAGCTTTGTCTTTGGACCTTCATTTTTCTTATTTTATATAAAGGGTTTCTATAATATACATTAGAATTCTTATTATTAACATTACTTTTAAGTGACAAATAATTGTATACATTTATGGGGTACAATGTGATTTTTGATATATGTATACAATGTGGTTGATTAAATCAAGATAATTAAAATATCCATCATCTCATCCACCCATTGTTTTCTTAGTTATTTGAAATTTTTTCTTAGTTATTTTAAAACTCAAACATTTATATTAAAAATACAGGTTGCCTATGGTTCCATTCCGAGAAAGGAAGTAGCAAGTAAATTCTTCTTGCATTTTTTACAGAAAAGAAAGTGAAACATAATGTTGCAGGATGAGAAAATTCTAAAAAAGAAAATATGATGGTTGGGGGAATATATATATCAAAAAATTTCTTGATTTTATACTTACAAAATAACTTTCAAGTTTTAATTTTTATTTACTTGAAGGTTTTTGTGCACATTTGAATATTAATGTGTTTCTTCTCAAAATGAATATTTGAAATTAAAAAATAAGAAAGGATGATGTCTATATCTTTTGCAATCTGCAGTAATTAAAACGAGTTCACACCTTGATTCTACTCATTTTGAGAAAAGTAAATTTCTCAATATTGTAAATTATATGCCTGCACTATGGCATTTTATTTTATATTCTTAAAATATGTACTTTAAGAAATGACCATTAAAAGAAAAGACAAGTAAACACAGCTTCATCAGATTGTATCTTAGCCTTTAGATTTGCAGTTGTTTAAAACTCATAGAAACAAGAATATGATCAAATAGTTAAAACTGAGCAATATGAATGGACGACATTCTACTCACATAACAACACAATGTACTGAAAAAGGCGTATCTTGCATTTCAGTCCAACTATTTTTCAAGTTTGCAGTGAGTATGTATTATTTGTGTACCATGTGCAAAGTGTCTTTCTAGGAGCTATTGCTACAAACGTGAATTTTAAAAAATTAATTTTCCTGCCCCAAAGTAGCTTATAGTAGAGAGAATTAAAAATACAGAGATAAATAAACATAAAGTTATTTATGACCATTTTCACTAACAGTTTGATACTATAAACAACTAACTGTCACTGGGGTGCACTCAGCAAAATTTTTAAATTTTAATATTTAAATATGAAATCTAATTAATGTGTCACGAACAATGGTAATAGAAACTGGTAAGATGAAAAAGTGTTAGTCCCACTTATACTGAGATGCAGGTTTAATGAATCTGCTCTTGCTAGATATAAAATAATTAGCTAACCTACATTGGGAAGGTCAGGTATTTTGTAATGTCTAATAAATATAGAGGATATATATCTATGATTATAAAATAATACTGCGATTTTGCACCTACAAGGTTAATTTTGTATTACAAAAGTAAATTGAGACCTTGTATGTCTCAACCTTGTATGATTTAATATGCAATCACTGAATCGTAGTTTTAGCTTGGTCTTCAGCTCATCCTCAGGAGATTCTAAAGAGGGATGTTGGATGCATGTTGATATAGTATCTAGACAGGTAAAGGTAGACTGTGGTGTGTTAGGACCACGAATGTGTTATAAAAGCAAAGTGAAGGTACTGCAATTTGTAGATCACAACACCATTTGTGAACCTCCAGACACCCACATTTAATCCACACCTATCCTTCTGGGGTAAGATTGTAGTGTGCAGTTTTATTGTGTTTTACAGGTGGGATAAATAACTAGTTTCACGTTGTTTTTGGAGTAGGGAATAAAACAGAGCTCTTTTTACTTCTTACCCTGTAATTTGGCTACTGCTTTCCCTTAACAAGTCATTATATTCTCTTTCGCAAGTGTCTCAAGTTATTTCTTATTTTGAAATCCTGTCTTCTCAGTTAGATTTGGGACTGGGCCGCTTCTTCCATATCGTATAACACTGATCATACAGTAAATGCTTATAGTCCTTGATATATGTTTTAAAAGTTTTTAAAATTTTGTATTTTATAAGAATTGCTGATACTGAATGGAAAAATTAAACATCACAGGAATGCTGATTCACAAGTATCCTCTGACTGCTGGCACATTGAATACTGACTTTGGCTTTGAGGGGCCTGTGCCTTCCTAACACATTTTTTCACTTGCAATAACAAAGTTGCAGTTTTCTGACTTTTACAAATGAAAAGTGCTGTAGAATAAGCAAAAAATGGGTTTTAACTCCTCTGAGAAACTTATTATGTAAATATACATTATTATGATAATAAATAATAATAATCTATTTTCTGAAGCATAATGCCAGTGCAAAAGTCATTTGGGGAGGCAAACATTTGTTAGTTGTATGGAGGTTTCATCAAATCAAGTCTCCATTCCATGATAATAGATACTTAAATGGATTTTTCTATTTCATGAAGGCACTTCAAAGTTTAGAAGCAAATGCATTGTTAGAAAGATCAGATAATAAAAACGATAATTTTTCAAAAATCTTTATGGCCTGCCAAATTTGTTGCATGAAAAGAGCAGAAAATCACAATCCTTTGGTAAATTGAATTTGATTCTTTTTAATTTATTTGTTCATTCCAGTTACAAGTCCAATCACAGGTTTCTCAGACTTGCTGAGCTTGGGCTTTTATTCGACTCAAGGTGTTTTAATTTTGAATGTAGCTTTTATAGTTTTTGCTTTTAGGGAAAAGAAAGTTGCCTGCCCTTTTTTTTTTTTTTGTAAGAGACTATTATAAAATTCAAGTATAAGATTAAAATAGGATCAGTGCTTCTCATAGTTGGGAGATATTTGTGATGCCTTATTCATCTCTGTTAATAAAGAGTTTCGAAGTTATGTTAATGAGCTGCACCTGAAGGAACTAGGGGATTCTTGAAAAGCTGGAACTAAAGGAGGATGCAAAGACTGTAATAGAGTTGAAAATTATAACATGGAAGAGGACATAGTCTTGTTCAATTTTGAGCCAGAAGGTAGAAATGAAAAATTTAGGTGTAAGTTATGGGAGAGTGCTTTTTAATTCAACTTAAGGAAGGGGTTCCTAGTAATGTTCCTGAATACAGAAAGTATTCATACTTCTGTGAGGAATACTATAGAAAGGATTCCTGAATCCTGTTGAGGACTTGAACCCGTAGGTCCTATAAACCTCTCAACTCTTAACATTTTGGCAGTTCCATTAGAATCTGTTTTTACTGCAAAATTCGAAATACAAAACTCAAGTAGTTCTCAAATGGATGCCTGCCTCCTAATTTTCCAAGTTCATTGATTAAAATACCACTTTTCCCAATTCCAAGTATCAAAACGTTCATCTTTTTCATATTTATTTCTCCTAAAATCTCTCATAACTCACCAGTCACCTAAGCCTACCGGTTCTTGTTTCTCAGTGTCACTCTTAATTATTATGTTATTTGTTCTCATCTGTCCAATCAAGGCCCTCATCAATTTAGACCTGTATTGCCACAACTTCTTAACATGTCTTTCTAATATTTGCATATATAGTCCTTAATCTGTAATTTCCTTTCGTATACTTTTATGTCACTCTCATTAAGAATATAACACTTAATCCTTTCAATGCGTTCAGATTTTCTCAATCCAGTATTTAAAATCTTTCTTAATGTGGCCCCAACTTATCAATATTTTCTCTTACT